ACAAGCAGTTAAAACAGACATACCTCAACTTCTTGCTGCAGTGAAGGATGATATGCGTTTTATGCGCATTGCACGCAGGTTTTTGGATTATTGCAGGGAGGAAGTTTGTGGATATCCCGCATGGAAAAATATCCGATCTGAAGCCTCTCTTAAAAAAAACATTCAGCTCGTCTTCAACGGACAGCGTTTCCGAGCATACTTGCAAGGCATCTGCGGGACAGATGCACGTTCAGCTGATGTATCGCGACTGCTTGCATATGTCCAGGCAGATTTGTTTGGCAGTCAGGCAATGATTGAGAAATTGTGGATCTTTGAGTAGATCTCACTTTGAACATTGCAATTCCTGCACGATGTGCACGCCTGACCCATGAAGGGATGTGATTCAACGCTCAGAACCGGCATGTGTTTGGCATGTGTTTGCTCACGCAGCTGCTGAAAATGGGAAGCTGCGCCTGCCGACCTCGGTGAAGCAAGGATGGACAGCGGGCTGGACAGGTGTCCTGGACTACTCTACACTACTATTGATCTCCAGACAGGTCCAGACAGGCTCTGTAGGCGCTTCGCTCTCATTCCTATCCTTCCCCACCAAGCACCCCCGACCTGCCACCCCCAGCGAACCGCGACCTGCCAGGCGGCCAAGGATGGCGACCACCGACTGGTGCTGGCGCTCCTCGAGCGCTGCCGCGCGAGCGACGTGGTCGACATCGACCGGCCCGACAGTGAGGCGCATCGACATCCGTGGGCACCGGCGCCCGGTGACCGGCGCCGGGAGTCGGTTGATGTGTGCGTCGTGCCGTATATGTTCTTTGTGGTTGAGAACATGTCGAGCATGGATCCGTGATTCTTTAAACATAAATGTTACTAGAATCACAGATTCATGTTTTAAAGATAGGGGAACGGATGGATCATGGATTTTATATAATACCCAGACGCTCCATGTATGCCATATATGCCTACATTGGGGGTGGTTTGTGGGGCAATGTAGGCATATATGGCATACATGCAGTATCATGGAGTGTCTGGGATAGAAAAGATGGATCCGCGATTCTATATCCCAGACACGACCTGTCTGGGACTGCCAGGGCGGACTGCAGCCCCAGACAAACCCCCCAGACAGACCCCACCCCGGTCGGCCGTGGCAGTCCGGCGGTCGTGTCTATTATGTTCATTCCTTTCGGACACCCTCAGGTCGAACGACACAGGCGAGCGTCTTCACGGCCAACGAACGAACGGAACGGGGGGTCACCGCACCGCACCAGCTCCGCACGCCTGCTCAAGCGTCCAGGGCATCACCGCTTTGGGCTACGCCGTTTGGGCGGGACACTTGAACTCCACGAAGCTCCTCATCGAGCAAGGCTCGATTTGGGCTGTTCCCACGTGAAACGCCTGGTGTTTGGGGGTCGAGCCGAGGTTGGAGAGCCAAGTGGAAGCAACAATCACTGAAGACTTGGTGCAAAGCACATCCAGCAGAAGTCCCAGTAGCAACTCAGTAGTATCATATATTATAGACGTTATAGAAATACCAGTAACTATAGCAGTGGAGAGTATAGTGGGGATTAGTGGGGAATAGTGTGTGCCATGTTGTGTTGCGCCCTTTGAGTGGATTTGCACTGATCGTTTGATTTGTGATGATTTGTGATGCTTTGTGCGTGTGTTTATGTGTGGCAAGGGGGGGTAGTGTCAGTGTTCTTCAAACCTCTCATGAACTGGCTCATGGTTGGATGAGACCCCAAACACATCCAAAGACCCAAAATCTCCCCCCCGCGGGTCTTCCCGTAAGACTCGCTGAGCCCCCGGGTCCAGCCAGACCTGCAGAGCAGATCGATACGGAAGCGATAGAAAACCGTCCAAGACTCACAAATGGGTTGGTGCAACAGATGGGACACCATTCATGAACTTTGTGGTTGCGACGGAAAAGCTCATGTTCCAAGGGTTGGCCATGCATGTCAAGAGTCAAAGATAGCAGGTCAAACACTTAAAACTTGGATCTGTAGCCGAAGCGCTCGAAGACTTGTTCAGCCGTGGCAGGTGCCGACCCCTACGCGGTGGCGCCAAGGCTGCAGTTGGCCCAGGGCAGAAAGCACGAGGAGGTGGCGCAAGAAGTAAAGTAGCAGATCCCCTGTTTTTGGCACCTGGACGGCTGGTTTTGAAGTCCATCTTCTGCAGAGACAAGAACACCCACTTTGCAGCATGTTGTAGCTGTAAATCATGGTAAATCCATCCCTACAAGTTCAGAGACCCAGCAAAACCTGGTCTTTCACTCCAGGTAGGGTGTGTTTTGGTGACGTCCAGCTGAGCTCGACCTGTTGGGCATGGCCGTTGTGACTGATCGGAGGACGCCGAAGGAGTCACGAGCCGGTCGACCAGCGAACGACCCACCCATCCGCCCCAGGATAGTTGTGGAAACAGTTGCGTCCACTACGCGGCGGGCTATGGGCACCCAGAGCTGCCACTTGGAAGAGATCGTGGGATCATCGATGGGGGCCCCCAAATCCGTTGTGGCCATGGTGTTTTGAGCACCAACAATGCGCCATCCATACGCCTTATAAATCGGTGTCCCCAATGTTCACCCCAAAACCAACTTCCAACCGCGCGACGAAAAGCTCGTTTGATGCGCCGGTGGGACGAGTTTCCTTTGGGCTCTGAGGTTGGAATATTTGTTGGAATTTGGCTTCAGTATGCACCGGAGAAATGCCGCAGGCGCGTTCGTTCACCTTCTCGCAGCCGAAGACGAGAAACCAACCACCGGAGAAAGCAGGGCTTCGCAATACTCAGGTTGGACCGCGGGAGGCAATGGCCTCAAACCACGGAGGTGACGTGACCTCTTTCGGCGAATCTCTTTCCATATTTTGGGTCTACTATCCCTATAGGGCTCCAGTCGTACCTTCTGAGAAGGTAGGACTGGGGTGGGTTTTGAGTTTCGAGGGTCCAGTCATACCTTCTGAGGAGGTACTTGGAGCATCTTGGAGCCCTATTGCAAGTGATCACCCTCCGAAACCCGCAGCATCACGCAGCTCACGAGTGGAGCACCACCATCATCTTCTGGGCTTGCGTGGGTGGGGAAAAGGGTCCAAGGAGTTCTACTGAAGGCAGAGGGGTGACCCTTTGAAGGCAGAGGGTGACCCTCTTTTTCGTCGGGAGATCCAAGATTCCATCGGAAGTCTGCGCGGATTCTTTTTTTGTGGCGAAGCTTCATGGCTCTACAAAATTCGACCCACCGTTGATAGCCTTTACCCAACGATACTTGTTATACGGAGTTTACCCTGCAAAGCCATGTCAACCATGTATTAAAGGTGGTTGAAGGCTTGTTGAAGGAGGATAATGATAACAACAGGACTGTTTCCTTTCACTGGCGGTACCACCGATGTTCTTCCCCTCAAGTCCCACACAATTCAATTACCCTCAAGTCCCAAATGTAATGTGTGATTTTGTCACCCAGGAAACATGGGGCCAGCCAACAGAGAAAGAGTTAAGTGTGAACTTCCAGATGTTGGAGCAAAATCGGAACCTTGGCCGTCTCTCATACCTGCATCAACAGCTGCATCATCTTTCACCTATATCATGGAATCATCATCATCGTCGTCAGCAGCAGCAGCAGCAACAGCAGCATCATCATCATCACCCTCGTCCTCGTCATCGTCCTCAACGTCATCATCATTGTCCTCATCATTGTCCTCATCATCGTCTTCATCCTCATCGTCCTCATAATCATTGTCCTTGTCCTCGTCCCTGTCATCTTCGTCGTAAGCTTTGCATGGCCTCATCAGCTCATCCATGATTTTGTTGTCAATCGTCCCAAGCTCGATGCCATCTATACCCAGACCATGTATAGGCTCTATGATGATCTATGTGATTTTGGACATATTTCATTGTTCAACTACATGTTGAACATCTGAGGCCTCAAAAAAAAAACAAACGAAGGTGGACATGTCAGGGATTGGGTCCAAACCGTGTGCCTTTCGCTCTGCCGAAGACGTCAACCTTACCTTCCGTTGGATTCGCTCCGGAGGTTTGACTCCCATGGCCGTGGCGCTTCAGAGTCAAGAGGAGCCCGGACCCAGACACTCCATGTATGCCATGTATGCCTACACTGGGGTGGTTTGAGGGGTCAATGTAGGCATATATGACAAACATGGAGTGTCTGGGGGAAAAAAAGCCGCTTTTGGTTGGTGCGAAAGGACACGTGACACGTGCATGTTGTGCTTGGTGGAGGACATGTTGTTTTGGGTAGAGAGCTTGTGGGTGTTGGATGAAAGTGACGGAGTAGAGTCCTTAGAGTCACATTTGCCACATGCCATTTGACTCACTTGAAGTTAAATTCAAACACTCCAATGGCATATGAATCCATACATGGGGGGCTGTTGAAAAGGGGTCAATGTAGGTAAATCCCCAAGGGTCCAGGACCATCCGTTCTCGGATGTCCTGAAAGACCCCCCGGTTCGACCATTCTCTGGAAGTACCTACTCACCTCCAAGACCATGCTCAGGAGGTACCTGGACCCTATGGGAATATGCCATGCATGGAGTGTTTGGGATTCATGGCTTCGGTGGCTTCATGTGATGACTGGAAGTCTGGATGGCTGGTGGTGTTTGAGTTCTTGGTGTGTGGATCTCTTGGCTTCTTAGCTACAAAAGTGGTTTCACCACCCAAAATGTATCCTTTGGTTGCGTTCCGACCACGGTTGCGTTCGCAGTTGAGAGGGTTTCTGGACCAGTGGTGTCGTCACTTACACAAAAGTGGAAGTACCCGTGTCACCAGGAGGATGAAGTGTACTTACTACATCTTACTACACACGCCGTTTTACTTACCAAATCCTACCAAACTTGTGTACTCTTTTGTTACCAGACGAACTCTGTTTCCAACCAAAGGTTGCTCCACGGCGAGTGGAGGATGAATTCTCCATGGAGGGGAGGTCGTTTGCCTGATATATGTCCATCGATCTTACTTGTTCGTAGCCCAGTTCTCATACTCTTTTGGTGTGTTGGCTTTCCAAAACAGTATACCTTGCATCACCTCTTTGTCTCCGCGCTGTGCAGCTGAACAAGAACATGCTGTCCCTCTCCATGCCTCAAGTTGACCTCGAGGAACCTATCGTGGATTGAGAGTAGATGGCACAATCCCCAAGTTGTGTGCCTTTATATAGACCCCATTTGTCCAAGACCACTATACCATTGCCATCTACTTGGCAGGGCTTTGTGCCATCGAACTCTCTGAAACCAAGACAAGGCCCAATGCGCATGGCGCAGCGATTTCCGATCTCCGCGATCTCCGCGACACATCTCGGCCGCGACGATCCGCAGATGGCAACGATCCATGTCTTGGAGACCTTCGGCGTTTGAGCGGAACTCCGCCTTTTCTTCCGGCGTACTCGTAACGTGTTTCGGAGAATGGCCGCGTTGTCGCTTGTTTAGAAGACATCCCCCAAAACTGAAGCCTTGGTTCAAATCCGAAGGGAGTTTAGGGCTACGCCCCATCTATAACACCATATGTTTGTGAAGATTGAGACTCTTCAGTTGCTCACTTGATCCTTTTGTGACGCTGGCCATTCACTGAATACATTATATAACTGCCACTTGGCAATCTTGGATGTCTAATTATGGGATGTCAATGTTTCAGAGGCGGAACTAGTGAATTTGCATCGATTTATGTGCAAATATATAAATAGAACATGTTCCAACATCATTTTCCCTCAAAAGGACATGGAATCAGTCAAAATGTCAAAGTCTTAGAATCTTCTACATGCATTGGATCTCTCTCCAGGTCCTTTGTAACTCTAATTAATTACTATGGATCAAAAGGCCTGGAGCTGCAGCCTGGAGGTGTGTCTCTTCAACAAGTGGAGCTGACCTCCCAGGCAGAAACCTCCTTTTTCAAGACCCATGTTCCTCTACATCATGGGGTGTCGCTCAGCTTCTGTGACGGAGGGTCACTACCCCAGCGATGGACCTGGACCCCTGCTTTGTCTTTCAAGACACAACGGTGAAGCCAAAAATGCCAGTCCCATGGAGTGTTTGGGATAGGATTGTTTTAGAGATGTTTCCTTGGCATGGCCAGGTACTTGGCCAGGTGTTTTTTTTTTTGCATCCGGGTTCGAGTCATTGTTCCGCACGATCCCTCATCGTGTTTCATGCTTCATTGTGCTGCCGACCGGTCCCTTTGGAAGACATCCACCAAGTAAATCCCAAGTGCTGCGCGTGCGCGAGACTCTTCTTGCTGCGCGTACTCGGCGATACCGTCAGCGTGAGGTGTTGATGGATCAGAAGCAATGGGAGAATGCATGGACACGTGTTGAGTGGGCACCCAATCAATCCACATAGCCGCATAGCATGGGAGATCCACAGCTTTGTACAAAAGGACGGCCACCTATGGTTCAGATGAGGGGTTTGACACTCCATGAGACCATAAACCATACGTTGGGGTGGTTGATTTCAGGAATCCAGGGAGTGACACATATTCAAATTCTTCTTGTTCCTAGTAGCTACTTGCTCCTAGTAGCGATGCCATGAGCCTCTACTAGTGTCCTTGCTCCTAGTAGTAAGGCCAGGAGCCCCTAGTAGCTTCTTGTTCCTATGATGTGTTTGGGTATGGCAACATTTGATGGCCAATGACTTGCCGTTCCCATGCTTTTCAGCGCTCTCAGCTGCCTGTGAAGCATCAGTGGGGTGGGGTGAATCCAAAGACGTTCTTTCTCCGAGCGGTCAGGAGAAGAAGAGCATACGCAAATTTCTCTCGCACCAGAATGTCCAAGCCAAATGTGTTGGATGGCCCGGATAAGTGGATGTGTTGGGGTGCCCCATATCCTCCAAAAAAAGCACCCTGACATGGACTGGCATAGAGGATCAACAAGCAGCCAGTTCCAGTGGATCCAGTTATCACTAAAGCTGGAAACCAGTGGATCCAAAGACAAATCGACCTCAAAATCCTGATGGCTTTGGAGAGTTTGGGAATGACGAGTTTGGACCATGTATGATCAGTCTACGAGTTAGTGTACAGGTCCAGATGGTCCATGAACCTGCCATATATGCCGATCAGTTGATTGTCTTTGAGGGGTCAATGGGGCGGCATATATGACAGACATGGAGTGTTTGGGTATTGTACAGGTCCAAAAAAAGACATTTCAGATGCATATTGAATTTGGTCTATAGTTCCTTTGAGCTGATGGTCAAAAAGCCAGCATGTCAGTGGTCTCCGTGGGCACACCCAAAACAAATTTTCTATAGTGTTTGTCCTATTACCGTAACCTGTAACAGTCAGTAAACAAGTACATCACTATTCTCTTGAACAAGGGCTGCAACCAGACCCCATCCTCATCCAAAACGGGCCCTGCATGACAAGGATAGACCCAATCAATATAACTTCTTTAAATCCATTTCGCCATGACTGCCGCTGTTCACTCGGGCCCTGGGGCCCTGGGCTCTCCAAAACACCTCACTGCGCCCCTATGAGTTTCTCCTATCGAAAAAACATGGCGGTGCCTCAAGCAGCGCCCGGCTCTTCCGAAGAAATTTCATGCGCTTGGCCCGCGACTCCGGGGGTTGGCCCAGTCAAGGGCGGGGCACGCGGGCTGGATCTTCATGTGCCCTCCACACGATTGAGTTCCCAAAAAGGCTTTCTTCGGGGCACCTGAGACACTGGAGACGTGATTCCCAGTCAGTGACCTGGATGACATACTTGTTGTTACCTTTTTGGGGGGAAGTTGGTTTCCCCCACTAGAAATGATCATAGATATATAGATTTGGACAATATTCAACATTTTTCTGAGCCACACTGGGGGTTAGAGACCCTCAGCTGATTCAATCGACGTTGACCAAAGGCCATTTATTTGTTATAGATTTAAAATGAATTAAATATACTAAAACGATTTAAGCATGTTTTTTTGCATAAATGGATGGCCTGGGATACAAAGATTCTAAAACCACAAAGAGTTAAAAGCTTGGAGCTAACGCCTTTCAAACATGCTCAAACAAAGGATCTTGGAACCTGTGGCTCAGGCAGAGTGAGTTTTCTGTGTACGGTGTCAAGTTCCTTAATTGTTCCGTACATGGTTGTTTAACGTGTTCTGCTGTTGAGAGCAGATCTTCTTAGAGCAACTGCATGTTAAGTTGAAAACGTAAATCCAGATTACTCCACCATGCGGACACCAGCCATCAGTTGAGTTTGCCAGTCTAGATTTTGATTTGCACTTGATTCAGTACGCAAAGTTAAGGGTGATAATGCAGAACTTTTCGCACGGCGTTTCTCGGTGTACAAGACGAATTGTGACTCTAAGAAAATGGTTTTCTATGTTCACGAAGACAAGGATGACTTGAGGGATGATGTAAGGCCAAAATCATGAGCTCGTGGATGAATCGGTTATACTACAGTTCTTCATGGTTAATTATACAACTGCAAAACCATGCAAAACCATTAAGATCCCGTTTTGGGCTCGCCGTCTTCATCGTTTGTGCTAAAGCTTGGCATGTGATGGCTGGCTGAGATTTCAACAACCATTGGTTTACTGGTCTTTCCAAAACAACCGTTGTTTTACTAAGGACTTTACACTACAAAACCAGGCCAACCATTCTTTTACTGGTCTTCAAAGGCTAGGGAACATGAACAGAACACACGTATTGCGTATTCCCCCGATGCCGAATCCTCTCCGACAGCTTCGAGCGCCAAAACACGTCACCAATCAATATCCTGAGACAGAGCACGGTGTTTGCATCGCTTTGTGGAACCTTGGTTCCATATCTTCGCCTTGACTGGACCCTGACGTTCGGCGGACACGGATGGCGTCGGCGTCAGGGCAGCCACGGGTCACAAGGGCGTCGGCGTCGCGCCACGGGCCGCAGTCGGTCCCCTGCAGAGGCGGCCGCAGTCGGAGTCCCACGGGCGCCGCGCGAAACGGTTTCCAACTCCGAACTGGTCGTAACAGCATCTCTACTGAAATTGTGTGTTCAGATTCGAGTTTGTTGGGAAGGGTCATTTGGTTGTGGTATGTGTTGGTTATAGAAGCTATCAACAGCCACAAACAAGATAGAACAAGTTAAAGATTGTTCCCAGGCCCGCTGTTCAGAGCATGCGATGTTTTTTCCAGATCACGTCGACGCTGAAATTCTTCGACCCGAATGACACCATAACGCCGGGTCAAAGGCTTCACAATCGTAGTGCCTTATAAGGGTAGGATGGTCTAGAAGGGTAGGACCCATATGACTATATCAAGTGCCCTTCAAAATTTGCGATGACTACGATTGCATAGGAACGTTGCAGTCATATGCGGGCATGCTCTAAACCCTGGCAAAGGATAGGATCGATAGGGGACTCACAAAAACGATACCCTTTAACACGGTTCCAAAGCCAGGGAAAACCATAGGGGCCTCACAAATCTGAGGATGCCAGAGTGTACCTCATATCTATACTGAGGACATGAAAATGACATGGACCTCATCTTGGACATTTGGAGTCTTCACTGAGATCCCAAGTCGTTCCGTTGTTGACCCTGGGCCGCTGCTTTTGGCCAGGTCGCCCACACGCAAGTGCTGATCATTGAATACCCTAAGGGTCCAGGACCATCCTGAGGATGTCCTTTGACCCCCCCGGTTCGACCATTCTCTGGAAATACGTACTCACCTCCAAGACCATGCGAAAAGGAGGTACCTGGACCCTATGGGATAGGCTTTGATGGGTTTTTGGTGCTCATTCCAATCAGAGAGCATGGTTCAGAAGTTCAGACCCGAGTCAGAACACTGTGCGGATCAATGGATGTGAGGTTGGATCTTGATGAATCAATAGGCCTCCCCTTGTCCCCCCTTCAAAACACTTTGATTCATCAGCTGTCCACCTGGATCTCGAAGTAGGGAAAGCGGATGACAGGGTGACTGTCCAAAAGATCCTTTGGAAGATAATACATCGACTAGCCCGGGCGTTGCCTGTTTTAATGCACATCGTTTGTTGTTGAACCATCTCATCACCAGTCTGTTTGGTACGACTGGCCGTGGGACCCCATCTCAGCACACCTCTTCAGCGGCTTCATTTGAGCAAGCTGGTGGACCGTGAAAATAATGCGCAGAGTGATGCCCGGGAGAGGACACATTCCCAGACCATCCACGCGAGAGGAACAATGACGCCATGTATGCCCCGTATCTCTCATCCCATACCCCAGACGCTCGAATTGATTTATATCCCAAGCACTCTAATGTTTGAGGGATCAATGGGGCGGCATATATGACAGACATGGAGTGTCTGGGTATATTACACTCCCTTTTTTCAACGGCCTCAACTCATCCGTATGCGAGTGCGATTTTTCTGCAAGTCCTAGACAGGTCCAACAGAGGTTGAAAGGCCCTATAGGCTATCCCAT